GCTTTGCCCAAAGATGAATAGACCTTATGCTTTTATTAAATTTCACACAACTTTGCTTTCCCAAAAGGTTTAAGTGGGGCGCCGTTTCGATCTTGTCTAAACCGGTCTCCTCAGCGCCCCCAGCGGGACTCGAACCATGACTTAGCAGCGTGTGCAGATGTACATTTCAAGAAGGACCACATTACACTCTGGGATGGGATTGTCGATGAAGCAAAGCTCTAGTTGCCATGGTAATCGACTAGACTCGAAAGCCTACTTACTAGCCACATAACTTGGGAGAGCCGAGCTCGGGTGTCATTGCGAGGTTGTCTGCAAAGTCTCCGGTCTCAACTGGAGACGGTGATTGGCGGAAGTTCTAGCCTCCAATCTGTTGACTTTACGCTTCCTCCGAGTTCCGCCATCCGGCCATTGGGTTGGCCGAATCTGACACTCGACGCAAACACATGCCGGCGCAGGCTCTCGGTGGCGGAGCTCTCCAATCAAGCGGGCATCAGGCCAGAGCTCAGTAAAAGTTCAAGCCTCCGCCGCAAATGTAAGCATCGCGAACGGTGCTCTACAGGTCAGTCTTGACTGCACCAAAAAGACCAGCCTCTGAGGGCACGACATGTGGTCAAATCGAGGCCTTACCACACGATGGCACGGACGTCTTTAGGAGTCGGCCTCGAAATCGAAGGACACCTACGTCTGGTGAAAGAAGCACTTTTGCATCAGACCCGTGCCTAAGCTACTCAGTCTGGAAGGAGATTTCGCTAGCCTCAGCGACCCGTTGGTAAGGTCGTCGGCAAGAGGACAATTGCCAAATGGCGCTGGACATGACAAACTTTCCTCGACGGTCTGCGAACGCTGTCCAGCATGCAATGTGGCCTATTTCACCGCAGCCATGAGGCCTGATGTGTGAGTGAGAACTGTAAATTGTACGATTTCCCTAGACACTCGGTGAACTTCTACAGCAATCCAACCGTATCTGTCTTTCGAATGTTTGGACTGCTTATATAAACAACCGTATAGATATGCCTATATATAAACATCTATCAACAAATAGAGCCTTCCTAACCTGTTTATAAGAGGTTGGTATTCGGTTAACGAGATTATGAAAATGCGTCACATTTATGGCGCCAGGCTGTCCTAAATATAAATATTGCATTATCCCCACACCATAAGTCGACAGAATAGCATCACGGGATTAAACGCACCATTCATGACTTGATTGCCATTGTTGTCATGTCCGTACACACTCAGATATCCAAGTCTGTATAAATGAGTGCATGCAATCATTCATACACGCAAACGTACACCAACACACCACTGCACATGTAACGCAGGCCTGGAGAAGGAAGAAGATGAGCATACAATCAGCGGTGTGTATTTTCATCAGGTGTGTAAGCATGCCAACACTAGCACACACACACAAACACACTCACATGCATATACTGACACATGCCAATAGGCATGTACACACATACACATACAACCACATGCACACGCACAAGCACACTGATGCGGTTATAGAGCGAAGAGCCATCATATAACACACAACGCGCGCACATACAGCACAGATAATCGCGCAGGCATCCAAGCGCAATCAGAGTAGACACAAAGTTTTTCATGCATACTTGATGAGGCACTATGAAAGGCAGACAAAGTGCTACCGGTTGTGCAAAGTGATGCGTAAAACGTTGACAATTTTTGTGTTCTCTGGTCTTCACTGCAACTTGCTAATGCGATTATGACTACAAATAAATGACTGAACTAGGCAGGCCTAGATCAAATGACTTTGACTTTCCTCGAGCTTTGCAACTCGGAGTCACCTCGAAAAGGCTGCTCTTTTTGATGGTTGCCTTGATTGCGTAACTGTCCGTTTCGGAGGTTGTAGGATTTGTGCCAGTGTTAGTGTGTTAGATGCTCGAAGTGGTCGGGATGAAGGCTTCTGGAAAGACATGAGGAACTCCGCCTCCCAGTTGGTGCACATCCAGAAATGAGGGGAACAGAAAATTTGGGCTGAAATTGCTCAGAATCGCACTTTCTGTATGCTCTTAAAGGAAGAGATTCGTACTATGGCCTCGTTGGATTGCGTTGGATAAGAAACTGTGGATGTGTGAAAATTAGGTCTGGGCGTACCTCACGCCTGGCCTGAAATCTATGTCATGACAACATGTTTTACGAAAATTTACCAAGCCCACATTTATCCCATAAATATTGGGATTTCCAGACCTAAAGCCGTCTGTACAGGTTTATGATAGATTGGCTTAAAATGCAAAGTAATCTAGAAATGTAATCTAAAAAAATCAACAGAAAAACTAAATAAAAGAAAAATCGGGCTTCGAAGACTTTCATAATTGTTTGATGTTGGCGTAAATTTCAATTCATTTGAAGAGGCGATTGGAAAAGATTTGCAAATTGGCATCCCATTAGCCCGTAGCTGTGACCGTAGATTTGTGCGAGATCTGTGTGATTTGTGCACCGACCCATTGTCATGATGGGTCCATCGATAGATCATTAATCCACGAGTGGCTGAAAGCAATATCATCTTCTCCTTTTGAGTAGGTTGTCCAATTAGCATTAACGTTTAACTAGAAACTGCATTCACCCCAAGTCGCACGAGGCAGTGAAGTCTGATAGTTGAATTTTCCCACAATTAACTAAGTGGGTCTTAAGTTTCAATCGAATTTCACATATACTCGAAAATTGCTTTTGGAAAGCAAAGCCGTGTGAAATTCATTGAGAACGTCATGCCCACTTACCTCATCATTTGTGTGGCCATTCCTTGCCTCCTCTACATGTTTGCGGATAAGTGTTCTGGCCACGAATGTCATGGCAAATATTTCCAGAAAATGGGATTTTTAAACTATCAGCAGATCTTGAATAAGGGTTCTAGTCATGATCTTTTGTGGCTTGGGTTGAGTAGAATTCGGTCACGACAACTGGTTGAAGGTCAGGAGTTAAGGCGATTTGGACATGATCAGAGCTGGATCTCATTCTTGTAAGAGTCTCAAGTTAACATCTGGTCAAGAAGAATGTCCGGCCCTATCTCACCTCTTATATATATACTCATAAGTAAAAAAAGAAAATGGATAGCGGTAGATGAATATTGAATGGTTTGCCTAATTATGTTCAATATTCGTCCGACTACTTTTGCTCGAGTGGGCTAAGCTCCTTACACAATACCGTTCCCGCGGACTGCATCACTCTGAAGGTGGTGTTAAAGCCAAACGACAGCAGTAGAATGGGAATCAGCGTCGTTTTCTGGTGTGGTCGACCTTCGAAGCTCTTCTTCATGGCCTTTTATACGAAATGAACGTCTCCCAACAGCAATAGCTCAGTAAGTCTATCGAAACCCAATTACTTTTTGCATGGACAGATGCATTCTCGCTTGAATCACAAGAACAACATTGTGGGGCCCTTATTTTAGTTGATAATTTATTTCATTTTTTGAATTAAGTATTGTTTCCGTAACTACCAGTATATCAGTAATATGATATGTATTCACCCAATTTCGTTTAAGGTGATGAAGAATTTTCCCACAATGATATGAATCGAGTTGACGTTTCCATTGCATTTCACATAGACTTGCTTTTCAAAAAGTTGTTCTCATCCCGGCTGGAGTGGACTGCAATTTCGACCTCAGGTCAAACTCCCATCCTGCACTGCCGCAGTTCGACTCCCGCTGAGGGTGTTGATAAGACCGATGCGAGGTCGAAACTGCAGTCCACTCTAGCCGGGATGGGAAGAAATTTTGGGAAAGCAAGGCTGTGTGAATTTCAATTGAAACTTCAGCTCAACTCATATCATTGTGGGAAAATTCTTCATCACCTTAAACGAAATTGGGTGAATACATATCATATTACTGATATACTGGTAGTTACGGAAACAATAATTAATTCGAAAAATGAAATAAATTATCAACTAAAATAAGGGTCACACAATGTTGGTCTTGTGATTCAAGCGAGAATGCTATGAGATGTATTCACCCAATTTCGTTTAAGGTGATGAAGTACTGGCAGTAGAATTTTCCCACAATAATATGAGTAGAGCTGATGTTTTCCATTTAATTTCATATAGCCTTGCTTTCCCCAAAGTTGTTCTCGACCATTTACTGGTAGTCTCGAAACTTTACTTACATACAAAGGTATGAATACCAAGATGGTGTGACCTTTAGTATGGTGGTCTGTGGTGCTAAGATTTGTAATGCTCACTGACGATGCCGACGCAATGTCTGGGAATGTACCAAGTCCACGGTCCGACTCTGGACTCCGGACAAAATGCGACCAAATTGCGAAAACAGAGTCAAATAACCTTTAATTGGCCATGCTTACTGATTTTTATGCAAGTGCAGTGATTTGCCAGTATTGATGTTGCCAAGTAATACAAGACATTTTGCTTTGCTCTACATGCTTTGGCCCTTAATTGGATCTTTCTGAATGAGCTTCGACATAATTTCATTGTTTTTC